ACAAGTTGTAGTTAAAACCTTGTCTGTTTTCACAGCTTACAGTATATTTGGGGAAAATAGATTTTGTGGACCATCTAGATCATGTGGACCCTGTTGGTTAGTGGTTTCAGATAAACAGTTCAATTGAATTTAAATGGAGAAGTGAAAGTCTACTAGTGAAAGTTCACTGACATAAATCATATATACTTCTGCTACAGATGGCGTGATTCTGGTCGACCCTGAATATCTCAAAGATAGAAAAGGTGAGCCAGAAAGCATCTTTGTTATTTGGTATGAATGCCTTGAAATTACAATTCTGGACAAGACCTTGTAGCGTCTGGACCAATCAAACACACAGTTCTTCATTAGATTAACAAATCGTCACAGTCCCCTCACCCAATAAACTGGATGCCAGGATGTCTGCCACCAGGCCCCCTTAAGCTGATATATTCTTCTGTTTTTCAGATACCGCAAAACTTGCCATGCTCTGTTACTCTGCAGCCTGGGCCTGAGGACACAGGAAAGGTATTATCACTCATACAAGGCTCATTTTAACACCTTTAGATTCGTCACCCAATTTTGCACACATCCTGTTTGTGAAGCTTTGGCGGACTTGTCCTTTGTTCACCTCCGTCTTTCTCACTCCAGGCCTGTGGTGTGGATTTTGAGATCAGGGCTTTCTGTGCCAAAACGATGGAAGAGAAGAACCACAAAAGGTTTGATTATTTACAATTTTCTGCCCGCAATCATTTGTTTTCAGTGTAAAAGAGTTTAGATCTTATTTGAAGCTTATTTCTTCCTCTACAGGAATTCAGTGCGACTAGTGATACGCAAAGTCCAGTATGCTCCTGAGAAACCCGGCCCACAGCCGATGGTGGAGACGACGAGGAGTTTCCTCATGTCAGACCGGTCTTTACACCTAGAGGCTTCACTAGATAAAGAGGTATCGTACTGTTTAACCCTCATAACGCATTAGGGCCCGTTTGACCCAGAAGAGATATATAAACATTACTAAAACCTGCGTAGCTTTTAGTGAGAGAACGAAACATTGCAAGTGCTTCAAGATCTTCAAATACAAATCATTTATTTTTCTTTCAAATGTTTTACAAATATTTTTTAGAGAGACCATTTAAAAAGATGATTGTTTTGGACCTGGATATGTATGGAGTACCTAAGGTGTCAAAAACCCTTTTTGTTAAATTATTTATGAAATTATATTAGTGTCAAAAACATTTGTAAAATATATTTGACATTTTCTCCATAACCCACACAATTTTGGGACTGAATTTTGTTGATACACATGAATATGTATGCCTATTGACAAACCATTGCAGCATGAAAAAGAATCTCATTTTTTGTCAGAAAGTGAACATTTATGCAATTAAAATTAATTTGTTTTGTTTGAAAACGGACTAATATCTATGTTGTTTTTATGTTCTTTTGTTACAAATAAATATGTTGGTTGCATAAATTAGGACTGTTTTTGAGCAATCATGAGTTATGAAGACAAAGGAATTTAGTAAATCATAGACCGATTTTTTGTGCTGTCAAATGATTAATCGCGATTAATCGCATCTAAAATAAAAGTTTGTGTTTACATAATAGATGTGTGTGTACTGTGTTTATTATGTATAAATGCAATCACATACATGTATATATTTTAAAGATATTTACATGTTTATATATTGTTCTAGTACACCCCCAAAACAAAATCAAGACTTTGTAAAAGAGCATAATAGGACCCCTTTTATTGCGAATAATCATTTGACAGAACTACAGATTTTCACTACATTATGAAGGTTAACAGAGATCAGTGCTAGTAAGAAATAATTAACCTATGAATAACCTCAATTTTTCTCACACAGCTGTATTACCATGGGGAACCCATCAGTGTTAACGTCCATGTCACCAATAACTCAACCAAGACTGTCAAAAGGGTTAAAATATCAGGTGAGTTACATCCAATAGTCCTCCAACTGCTGTTTGTAGTTTGACATTATTTTCATATCGCTTTCATCAGCTATGATCTGTGTACATATTCTTACAATACTGTTTACATTTGTGTCTCTACAGTACGACAGTATGCTGATATCTGTCTCTTCAGTACAGCACAGTACAAATGTCCAGTGGCTCAGATAGAGGCAGAGTAAGTTTAGACTATATCGAAATTATTCTTTATCTCAACTTTTAGTTGTCTAATATTCAAGATTAATCGTTGAGATGTCATTAAGAAAACAAACCTGCCCAAAAATGACATAAAAAACATGTCTTCTTCTTTCTTGTCTGAAGGAGGGACTTTGTAGAAAACGAAGTGTTTGAGAGAGGCGGGGCATAGAGGAACTACAATAATGTACAGTATTTGAAAAATAATGTGTTTTTTGAACATTAAAGCATGTCAACATATTCTGTTACACCAAATACACAAAATAATGATCTTTAAAAAAGCATCATATGACCCCTTTAACAAAACGCAAGTTTCATACTTTGAATTCTACTACTACTACTCTACCATTCAAAACATTGGGGTTGGTAAGATTTTTTAATGTTTTTGAAATAAGTCTCCTTATTCTCACCAAGGTTTCATATATTTGCTCAAAAATACAGTTAAAAGACAGTTATATTTTAAAATATTACAATTTAAAATGACTATTTTCAGTTTGAATATATTTTAAAGTATAATTTATTCCTATGGCGTCAAAGTTTAATTTTAAGCATCGTTACTCCAGTCTTCAGTGTCACATGATCCTTCAGAAATCATTCTGATATGCTGATTTGCTGCTCAAAAAAAAAAAATTTCATTTGAAACATTTGAGCTGCTTAATGTTTTTGTGGAAACAGTGATTATATTTTCAATAACCTCACTGACCTGAAACCTTTAAGTGATAGTGTACAAAAATGACCCTATTCATTTTTGAATACACTTTCATTGTCTTGTTGTGCGTGGTTCGTCAGTGAAAAACAGATGAATTTCCTGTTTCACAGTATGTCACATTGCAGAAGTGAGTTTTGTGTTGATTTTAATTCTTCAAAGGATAAAGAGTCTATTGACTGATTCTGTTTGTGTGTTTGCCTGCAGTGTGAAGGATGTGAGTAATAAGGAAGTTCTGGGTGTCCTGGTGTCATATCGGGTCAAAGTCAAGCTGGTGGTCTCCCGTGGAGGGTGAGTCACCTGATCCTCTCCACAGTCAGTCATTTTTTAAAAATATTTTTCACATGATGAAACCAGCTGAAAACATTAAGCTTGACAAATGATAATGGTCAGATTATATATATTTTTTGAAAGCCTTCATATGTATTTTTATTCCTTTACAAAGACTGTTGTGAGTTATTATTTTTAAGAATGAGATTTTATTTTCAGTAATATATAAAAAAAGTAAAAAATAAAAAACAAAGTTTAAAATATCATGGTTACAGTGAGACGCTTAACAATGGAAGTGAATGGGGCATGTCAGAATTTAAAAAAAAATGGTTATGGTTCTACAGTAGTTTTTCTTTTTGTACAATATACACTACTGTTAAAAAAAATTGGGTTGGTAAGGTTTTTTAATGTTTTAAATGCTTACCAAGCCTGCATTTATTTGATCTAAAATACAGTAAAGAACAGTAATATTGTGAATTATTACAATTTAAAATGTTTTCTATTTTAATATATTTTAAAATGTACTGTAATTTATTCCTGCAATGTCAAAGCTGAATTTTCAGAAGCCATTACTCCAGTCTCCAGTGTCACATGATCCTTCAGAAATCATTTTAATATGCTGATTTGCTTATTCTTTGATAAATAAAAAGTTCAAAAGAAGAGAAATATTGATTTTGGAGTGAAATATGGCCTAGTCAGTTCGTGAGAGATTCGTCTTTCTTATAAGCTCTTGCACACCTCAAGTATTTCAAATTATGGCGGTGTTGGTTTTGTTTTGGTTTTCATTCAGGGACGTCTTGGTGGAACTGCCTTTTGTTTTAATGCATCCAAAACCCACAGATTCCACCCTTTTACATTCAACCTCAGGTTTGTGCCAAGAAATGATCAAACACAAATAACAAAAAAAAACTCTTTAATTGCACTAAATAGGCTACATGGAAGTGTAACAGGATCTCCTTCATTAAGTCACTTAATAATATTTTTTTTGTTCAACAGCTGCTCCAATGTTGGATCCACCAATTGACACCAACTTGATAGAGTTCGACACAAAGTAAGCAAGACTTTTTAAATATGAACAAAGCACACTGATCACGTATGTATTTCTCTCTTGTCTTAAGCGTTGTTTTCCATGTTACTCTTTCTAACAGGAGTTTAACCCCAGATGACGACATTGTATTTGAGGACTTTGCTCGCTTGCGGTTAAAAGGAATAATCGACAAGGAAGAGGACTGCTGAATTTATCATCTCGTTCATCAAGAGCAGAAGCGCTTCTCATCAAATTGTGCATCTCATCTCCTAAAGGGTGTAACAATGAAACGATTCTCATCTCATTACGAAAGAAGCAGTATTGGGATATTTGACTGAAAACTGGAGAAAAGTCAAACTTATTAATATACGTATGAAAAGCTAATGAAGGAAGGGATTCCAGGGAATTTTGTACATTTTTGCATAGGCATGTGAAAAGTATATCTCTCATATTGTGCCAGCTCTTGTTATGAACGGCAAGCCAATTTGTAAAGATGGTGAAATCTGCTCCATATTTATTACTTTACAGAGACGGTCATGTGATCTATGTACAGTATGGACAGATGGATGGTTTCACTGATGGGCTGTGCATGTTTCTCAGTGCTGCTGTGAGGATCATATGTGATTGAGCACATATTGTTTTACTGCAGGATGTAAATACATGAAATTGCTGCTTTTAATTTGTTGGACTGCTGCATTGTTTTGTTTTTTTAAGTAAATGTATAGAGATTTAACATCCCTCAGGAGAAAGGAAAGTAGTTGTGTTATTACAATTTTCATACCTACAGGATTCACTGTTTGCCATCTTATTTTTATTTAAAAAACTGAAATTGTATTTAATTTTTTTAAATAAAATAATAGAAATACAACATGGCTGTGTCACTGTGTTATTAAATATGGATGTTAAGAATATTAACAGGAAGAAAATTCAGTGTGTTTGCTCTCAAGTGTACTTACTATCGTTCGTGTGTGTGTGAAATAAGCTCCAAAAGCATAGAAAAATTGCCAAAAACATCAAATTAACATTCATAGATAATCAAGTCATAAGAAGGAGGTCGCTAAGTTTTGGATTCTGTCGGTTTGTCGGCTGCACACGCTGCGCGAGATCTGACTCGATACCGCTTCTTCAGTCGATCTGCCAAACGTTGCCATCTAGTGGACGATAAATTATTGCAAAACAATGTGCAAAGTCATTGAAGAAACAGTAATAAAATATTAATAGAATTACATTCACCTTTCTTGTGTTGCATTATATTTATTAATCCTCTCAGCCTCCTCTTTCTTCTCCTCTAACCAGCGGTCGAGGAGCTGCTCGTTCTGGAGGTTTGCGGCCGTCAGCTCCTCTCTGAGTGAGCTGTGCTCCAGTCTCAGTGCTGTCAGTTCCTTTGATTGACACTCCAGCTGATCCTCATATTCCTCTAGATCAGCCTTCAGACTGGAAGCCCCCTGGGCCAATACAACCGCTTCGGTCCTGTAGCGGGCAACTCTATGGCAGGAAGACACAGAGGCCTATTAGGACTGCTTGTCTTAATGATTTCGTCGTCTTTTTCAGGATGTACCTGGCTGTTTGACCTACTGTGAGTGACAGTATTGTAACTCTGCCTCCTTCAGGTATATATTGCCAGTCAGATCTGAGATTTTCTGCTTGAGCTAGAATAAAGAGAAGAGGAAGGATATTCCATCGTTAGTAGTAGTGATAGACTGTGGAAACTGATACATTATTTCAGGATTCTTTGAGGAATAATGTTCAAAAGAACAGAATTTATTTGAAACCGAAGTCTGTAACCTTATAAATGTCTTTATTGTCAGTTTTGATCAATTTAATGCATCCTTTGTTGAATAAAAGTGTCATTTTTCCCCCCTCCAAACTATTGAATGGTAGTGTGTCAGGGTTTACACCAAAATATTAGGCAACACAACTGTTTTTAACATTGATAATTCTAAGAAAATAAAAGTTTACAGAGTAGCAAATCAGCATATTAGAATGAATTCTGAAGGATCATGTGACACTGAAGGAGTAAAATATATTCAAATATAAAAGTTACTGTAATAATATTTGACAACATTACTGTTCTTCACTGTATTTTTGATTGAATAAATGCAGCCTTGATAAGCATTAGAGACTTCTTTCAAAAACAAACAAAAAACTTTATTATTTCAAACTTGCATCAGAATATATACTGAAAATAAATGTTGGAATAAATCTATTAAAAGTCCCAGTTAATGTAGTCCCAGAAACAAAAGAAGGTAAAACAAATTTCATATAGATTAAGCAATTGAAACCTTAATTAAATGTACAAAAAAACATGTTATGCACAAATTCTCAAGATCTGGTGGGAAATAAAATATTCGTTTTAGCAATAAGGCAGTTTATTACTGATGTGTATTGGTTTTGAATATTACTCTCACCTGTTGATTAAGAAATTCCATCTCATTCACTCTCAAATAAAGGGTGCCTCCTTCATCGGGGCATCTAGAGCTTCCATTATCTTTGGAACTGAGTCAAATATGACAGCAAACAAAACAATACATTTAAATGTATGCATAATCTATTCCAATAAGTCAAGAAATCAAATCAGTACTAAAATAGATGTCAGGCATTGTGTGTCTTACCTGAGTTTCGTGTGAAAGGTCAGCATCTCCTCCAGCCTGGACACTGTCAGAGCATCCAGTCATTACTGAAGCACTACTGATTGCTTTTTTCTGTGCATTTGACAGCATCTGTAATAAAACTCACCTTTGTCAAACAGGCCAGAGAAAGGATCTCTCTGCCTGCAGTCTCTGTGAAACAGCTCTGCCCGCACGTGACTCTTCCAGGACTCCATGATCTGTGGTGGAACTCAGTTGGACAATTCACTTATTTTAGACACTTATTTAATGTATTATTACAGCGTTTTCACATTAGATATTACGTGCAGTCCTAGATAACTAATTTCTGTTGCAGATTTTCTCAAGATGCTGCGCAAATGGCTTCAATTACTAGTTAAACATCATCCATGTTTAGTTTTCGCCAACGCAGTCAGCGGGTTTCGCGTTCTGTTATTGTGTTCTTCTGCGGCTTCCGTAGTTCGCTACACAGTGAGAGCACTTTGTGTGCTACAGTGGCAGAATATCTCGTCAAATTTAGTTTACGGTGCATCAATATAGATGTATGTAATTTAGTTTTCAAACGTATAGATTAATGAAGTGCGTTTATAATTTTTCAGTAATTAAACTCTTGTATAACGTTAGCTAAAGCGCGCGCGCGTGTGTGTGTTTGTCTGCTGTTGTTGATCATTCTGTTTGTTTGTAAGTGTTGAGCGCTTGTATTTTGTATGTTTATACTTATATTTTCTCTTTTTTCTGTAGGTTGTGTGTTCGGAATGGCTAACGACAGGCTGAGGGCATTAGAAGATGTGGAGAAGGAGATAGCTTTAGTGCTGCAGAGCGCAGGTTTGTCACTTTATAAATGTATGCATGGATTTAATTTCAGTAATGCTTAATATGTGACCCTGGATATATTTGTAGCAATAGCCAAAAATACATTGTATGGGTCAAAATGATAGATTTTTCTTCTATGCCAAAAATCATTAGAATATTAAGTAAAGATCATGTTCCATGAAGATATTTTGTCAATTTCCTACTGTAAATATATAAAAACGTAATTTTTGATTAGTAATATGCATTGCTAAGAACTTCATTTGGACAACTCTAAAAGTGATTTTCTCAATATTTTGATTTTTTGAACCCTCAGATTCCAGATTTTCAAATAGTTGTATCTCGGCCAAATATTGTCCTATCCTAATAAACCACACATCAATGGAAAGCTTATTTATTCAGACACAGTGTCAAATTCTGGGATTTTGATTGTGATTGCATTGTCTTTAAAAAATGACGAAATCGTATTAAATATGATAAAACATACAGAACTGACGTCCCTGCTGACGAAAAGAAGCTTAAATCAGCTTAAGATAGTTTGTTACTAAAGTCCTAGACTAGCCAAGCTGGTTTTAGCTGGTCATTCAAGGAATACCCTTTTAAAATCAGTAAACAGACCATCTAGGCCAGACTGGGAGACCAGCAAACTGGATTAAGTTGATAGATTTATGTTGTTTTACATTAATGAGTTTTGTGACTGACATTGCAAATATACATATTTAAACCTGATATTTACAGCTTTACAGTGATACTATTTAGCATTTTGTATGTTTATTCAAGTACACAAATTGAATAGTAGCAATCTGTCTTTCAGGAACGATCGTGCTGGAGCTTTCTAAAGAGAAGGCCAATGCCAGTTTATTAGACCGACAGCTAAACCAGTTCCAGACCTCCATCAACAGAGTTGAGAGTGAACTGAGTGCACAGATCCGGTATCTGACACAGGTGTGTACTGTGTGTGTTCACATCTATCTATCTATCTATCTATCTATCTGTGTCTATCTATCTATCTATCTATATGTGTATCTATCTGTGTCTATCTATCTATCTATCTATATGTGTATCTGCCATTCTTTCTATTGTTCTGTTGTTCCATCTGTCAATCATTTTATCAATCCATTAATGCTGTATATATGTATAAAACATATAGAATTGGAAGAAACATTTGACTACCTCTGTGATGTGATGCACTAACTTCTTTGTTTCTTATTTCTTTCTCTCTTCCTTTCTGTTTTTTGAGTAAAGGTGGCAACAGGTCAGCCTCATGAGGGATCGACATACTCGGCCAGAAAGGACTGTCAGATGGCCCTAAACCGTGCAGAATATGCCCGCGTCAAACTGGGAGAGCTGGGACGCACCTGCGAGATAATGCTTGATCCGCAGACATAAAGACCTATTAAATGGACTGTTGCATTGTAATATCTGCCAGCTGACTTTATAAGTATCTACACGCATCGAAACCTTTCTGAATCCCATCTACAAGCATCAACACTTTTTGTTCTTCATAATCTAAAGAAATTTTGTTTGACAAACTCAGTGATTTAAATATATTTCCCGTTGTAACATCACCAAAGCTTTTGTCTTATTGAGAAATGTTACATGTTTTCTTATTTTCTGTTATCATCTTTTTATAGTTATGACAAAAGAACAATAAAAAAAATTTTTCCACTAGTATTTTATTGAATGGAACATAAGACTCTCCATTCACATATCTTACGATGTTCATCACAAATGTGATAATATCAAGTATACAACACAAGGGTGTACTTCAATAAAATAATAGACATTTATATTACCACACAAATGTTTAAATATTGAAATAAAAAAAAAAAAAGTCAAACATACACACATTCTACATGAACACCATCAACTATCATATGGACTCCTAGTGTTTTATAGTGTCTTTTAGGTTATTCATCAGAAGTCAACTATTAAAGACCTTCTGCTTGTTTTATTTATTTATATCATAGGGAATGTGGAGCCAAAAATCTGAATATTTCTCAAAAATATAACACATAGCATGCATATATATACTGTTTTACATGATTATTTCAATTTGTATTCATTACGCTATCAATATATCTAGTGTTTAGATTTTGACCTGAAGATGAACTGCCAAATATATCCATTTCAGACAATGTAACAGAACAGACTGTCCTCCAAGATCATTGAGAAGTCTTTTAAAAATAAATAATTATGAAAAATTGCTATTGAATTTGAAATTGTTTGGGTTTATGTGACCATGTACTCCTGGCGCTTGTTAAGGCGAACCTGACACAGAGACACAGCGCCGACACCTACGTAGATGGCAGCAGCAATGAAGCAGTTGATGCCGACTTGGTTGTAGAGTCCATAAATTTTCTGCGGTGGATTCTTGCTGTTGAAGATAAGAAAGCTCACAAGTAAACATTTGCATGTAGAAATGCCATATTTAGCAGTTCTCATTCGATACATGTAGTCTATTCAAAGTCGTACTTACATTCATATACAACCATTCAAAAATTTGGGGTCAGTAAGTTGGTAATGCTGTTGAAATTAGTCTCTTATGATCACCAAGGCTGCATTTATTTGATTAAATATATAGTAATATTGTGAAATATTACAATTTAGGAGAACTATTTTCTATTTGAATATATTTTAATATGTAAATATAATTTATTCCTGTGATGGCAAAGTTGAATTTTCAGCATCATTACTCCAGTCTTGAGTGTCACATGATCCTTCAGAAATCATTCTAATATGCTGATTTGGCTCAAAAAACAATTCTTATTATTATTTTGTGATGAAAGGAAAGTCCAAAAGGACCATAATATACACTACCATTCAAAAGTGTGGGGTCAGAAAGATTTTGTATATTGTTTTTGAAATCTCTTATGCTCACAAAGGCTGCATTTATTTGATTAAATATATAGTAATATTGTGAAATATTACAATTTAGGAGAACTATTTTCTATTTGAATATGTTTTAATATGTAAATATAATTTATTCCTGTGATGGCAAAGTTGAATTTTCAGCATCATTACTCCAGTCTTGAGTGTCACATGATCCTTCAGAAATCATTCTAATACGCTGATTTGGCTCAAAAAACTATTCTTATTATTATTTTGTGATGAAAGGAAAGTCCAAAAGGACAGCATTTATTTGAAATAGGATTTTTTCTTTGTCTTTACAGTCACTTTTAATTAAATGAATGTGCCCTTACTGGGTCAAAAATACAAATCCTACTGACCCCCAAAAGGTAAATTGTCTTAATATATTTGATCAGATACCTCTCTAGAACATGACAACATTAATATTTAAAGATGGGGGATAGTAACTTACTCATCACGGATGTCTTCCTCAGTAAAAGGAACATCTTCGATCAGCACAGCAGATTTTGCACTGAAGAAAATCCCCAACATTGACTGGAAAAAAAGCATAATAACAGGATTTTTATTAATATTCAATATTACGACATTAGGTGGAATTAATTATGGATATTGGAACCCAATACATATCTATTAAAATACACGCACACAAAGAAAAAGAAAAGAAATAAAATGTTAAAAAATGTCATGTCAAGGCGGTAAAGAATAGCTATTTAGGCCTTTACATCCCATGATCCCAACACTTGCTGTTATAGTCCTCATATCAAGCTCCTGGTATATTCGGCAGATAAATACATGACTCATGACTGAACAAATCTGTCTATGCACATTTATTATAAATATATGCCCTTTTCTATATATATATATTAAAAAAAAAATCTAAACACAGCAATATTTACTATTATTATACAGGAAGAATGTTCCTGTCGTTGTAGCTACAGCTAGCAAGCAATGTCACGATGGTTATAATCCTTACCAGCATAATGACACCCCAGATGCTTAACACGATCCCACAGGCGGCCAACTTCGGCCCACAGAATAAAAGCGACGGCATTTTATCCGAAATCGCCCACCGATTCTTCCTCTAAAAAAAACTAGGAAAAGGATGCTACATCCAGTCGGGATGATGTCTCCAGCTTTCTCTCGATCCAATCGACGGGATATAAATCGGCAGCACTCGGGTGTGTTCGACTTGTTCCGGGAGCGCATTCGACTGCGCTCGGCTATTTTCGTATGAGTGTTGCGCAGATGGTGTGCAATCATTTGATTGGCTATGCACTGACCAATCACACGCCTCATTTTCGAACCGCATTGTACTCTGGGAATTTTTAGTTCGAACTATTATGTTCCGCTCATGCTGATTATAGAGCTTTTTTTATTAGATATATAATAAAGATAAATATATTTTCCTACGACTGGTCACTGGATGAATGCAGCCGTCATTTTAAACCGGTTTGATCGTTTTAGTTATTAAGCGCAGTTGACTGAGACTCGACTGGACTGTTGTTGTATTTGTGTCACTCCAGTATGACTTCAGCTTCCACAAAGGTAAACATTTGCATTGTTTTGCATTATAAATATTCTTAAGTAAGTGATAAATCAAAAGCACATATACATGTCAATCAGGTGGGCGAGATCTTCTCGGCTGCAGGCGCTGCTTTCTCTAAACTGGGTGAACTGACCATGCAGCTGCATCCAGTGGCAGACTCCTCTCCTGCAGGGTGAGATGTGGTTTATGACCTCCTTTCCGCTCAAACTGCGTCTTCTGCTGTATTTCAAATGTACCGTTGTTGTTTAAGTATAGTCGATATTTTATAACTGACTTCTCTCAGAGCCAAATGGACCGACACGGAGATCGAGATGCTGCGTTCTGCGGTTCGCCGCTTCGGTGAAGATTTGAACAGCATCAGCTCAGTCATAAAAGAGCGGACAGTGTAAGTGTTTCTGAAGCTGTAGGTGTGATAGAGTTACAGCTGTGTAATAGTAAGATGTTTTTTTAATTACAATATATTATTATACAATATACACCTTTATTTGACCCTCTAACTCTAACACTTTCTATTCTATTTTAATTCTACTTTATCTATATTTATCTTTTTTTATTTTTTATTTAAAAAACAAAACAAAAAACAAACACTAACTTTCTATTTTTTCTATTCTATCTACTTGTTTTTCTTTGTGCGTGTGTGTGTATATGTGTGTGTGTGTATAATATTTATATAAAATACTATATATATTAATATTATTATTGATATATTAAATATTAAAATTCTCAAACATTACATGTAATATAATTTAATTGTGTGGAATATAAAATGCATAATTTTTGTGACAGGATAAATTTTCACATTTGTATTTTACATTGTCATTCAGTGTAACAATAGCTTATATACCAAAACATCTTGTCAGGCAAATTTAGAATAAGACTCATTAGATGACATTAATAGACTAAAACGAATTAACTGCAATTTAAATCTTTACCAATCTTTGCTACTGTCTTTCAAAAAACTAGGTTTTAACCATTGATCAAAGACTTTTTTTTAAAAATATATAATGAAATTTAGTATGATCACTTTTTCTTTTATACATTTTAATAAATACAGGTCAGGATAAGCATGTTTTTTCATACATATATCTGTTACGCCGAATGACGATGGAACATTATTTCACCCATATTTTGACATTTTATTTTCACAAACAGTTTTTGAAATATTAAAGTAGACACTTGTATTTAATATGCTTTCTATGTATATAAAGTCTTTTTTGTCCATTTAAATGGATGCGGACACCAACATGCCTTTGACCCATATATAAATATGATAAAGAATGATATCAGAAAGTCATTTATATATTCTGTGAAAGTTATGTATGGTGCCATCTTACCCCAGTAATTAAATAATTTTACATTTTGTGCTCTAACAACTAAAATTAGCTGATGCGTCATCACATGATAAACTAAATATAAATCAAATAATCTAAATATGTTACAATTTAAACGTAAATGCCCGTTGTTCTTAAAGGAATAGTTCATCTCAAAAATGAAAATTCTGTCATCATTTACGCAAGTCATTCCAAACCTGTACGAGTTTCTTTCTTCTGTTGAACACACACACACACACACAAAAAAAAAAAATATATATATATATATATTGAAGAATTCTGGTAATCAAACAGTGTCTGGTCCCCATTGACTTGCATAGTATTTCTTTCCCTACAATGGAAGTCAATAGGGACCAACAACTGTTTAGTTCTTTAAAATTCTTCAAAATATATTCTTTTGTGTTCAACATATAAAAAGAAAGAAACCTATACAGGTTAGGAATGACACGAGGGTGAGTAAATGATGACAGAATTGTCATTTTTGAGGTGAACTGTTCCTTTAAGGAGGACATCTTCCCCCATCTGACCCTATCTTACCCTAATGCACCACAAAAAAACTTTGTCTCTCTTTTTCCTTTCATCTTGTAGTGCCCAGATTAAGACCACAGTGAAAAGGAAGCTGTATGAGGACAGCAGGGTACCTCTCACTGCAGAGTCGCCTAAAAAAACCATGAAGAAAATCACAGTGACGCTACCGCCGCCTCCTGCATCAGTCGCCCCCACTGTTATCGCTGTGCCGACCTCGCAGGTTGTTGTGACAACTGGATTGCAGAGTTCTTCATCTTTACAACCAGCAATAAAGAACCCTAAACCAGCAGGTGACTCAATTTCAATGAAAAAGGATAAATAATGAAACAAAATCCAAGCAGTGTGGTTATATGTCTGTCAGTGCACTTACACAGTTTGGCTGTCTATTATCAGATGTGACTCTGAGTGCTCTGAATGACTCTGATGTGAACAGTGATTTGGTGGATATCATGGGGCTTGGAGAGGGTTCCACTAAAAAACCAAACTTTGACCAAGGTGAGTCACATTTTGAATGCATTGAAGGATAGAAATGAAAGAAAATGAAATAAATTCTGCCATCACTCACCCTTGTATCATTCAAAAACATTTTATGGTTCACGTGCATTCATTATGAAGCTGGAAAACAGGGTTTTTGCAAGTCTTAATTCACCCCTCCACAAATGAAGTAATGGCATTAAATCTTGCATGCACTGCAAAAAAATGAATATCTTCCTCTGTGTTTTTGTCTTGTTTTCCAATACAAGTATCTAAACATCTTGAAAGCAAGATACATTTACTTCACATGCAAAATGAAGATAGTTGAAGTCTTGTTTTCTGAGAAATTGAACAAAATTAAGTTTATGCCTAAAGCAAGTATAAATATCCATCAATGGGGTCAGAAAATGTTTTCCATTTAAATTAAGTTGCTTTGTCTGAGCCCATTAGCAGATATTTGTTCTTGTTTTAATTGTAAATTCAATTCACTTGGATTTCACAGAAAACAGGACTTCCTATCTTATTGCTATTAATTGATTTAACGATCTATATATTTGCTCTGGAAAATATATTTGCTTTTACAAATACGTTGCAGAAGGTAAAGTAAAAGGTATTTCCATGTTGTAGTTCGACTATATATTAAGTAATGGAAATCTGTAGGATGTTATTTTTTTTCAAAATGCTGATGCATACTTATTGTGTGCTCCATAGACACATTTAGAGAACATATTGACGTTCCCTTTAATTTATTGCATGAATTTTCTTTAATTGGTCTTAAAATGGTCTTTAAAAAGTCTTAAATGTACCTTCATAAAACCTGCAGAAACCCTGTAAAACATTCATTCCATTCATTGTAATTGCATGTTTTTTATGCATTTCCTGCATTTTTCGTGTATTATTCAAAATTGTTTCACAGATACTGATATCACAAATGACATGAAGGTGACTACATGGTGACACAGTTTTCATTTTGGGGTAAATGAATGCATAGGAACAAAGTGTGTTGATTAAATGTGTTACATTTTCTTTCTTTTTTTCTGGCAGAGAGCTTGAATCTGGACTCCAGTCTTATAATGAACTCCAGTGATCTGCCTCTGCTGTCCCGCTGATCTTCACTTGTCAGTCGAAGTGATATTCAGGTGCAACGTGGGGAGCAAAGATGACCAAGCTTGATCATTGCTGTACACCTCTACCACCTTTTCTGCTGTGGCTTCAAACAGCACCAGATCTGTACTACATCGCCAACCATTCTCTACCCACGTCAGTGAAGATGAAATATTACTCCATGAAAAATAACTGCATCCTTAGCTCTTATTATGCAGCAAAAATAGATAATGGAATTATGTTTTTAGTGGTTCATGTTGTGTGATCTGATCTGCCCACAGCTGAAAAGGGGTTTACAGGACAGTGGTCAAACTACTTGTAAAAATCCTTCCTTTTTTAATTATTAGGCCCTTTTGGCTGAAGTAAAGCTTTGTGAAGTGAAGTGAGATGCTGCTTGTAATGAAACAACAGCAAAAATAGTTTCAGGAAAATTTTACCATTTTCTTTCACTGCCACTGTATTAGGTGCAGCTTCTATTCTGTGTATATATATATATTTTTTTTTATCATTACAGAACAATTAAACGGGTCATTTCAACAGCAAACATAAGACATGCCTGCTTAAATTTTATATGAACAAATCATCCTGTCATACAATTTCTTGGCTCGGCATAAAAAGACAGCATACAAATCAATAAAATGAGTTTTTATTATGATCTTTTTCATAAGAATATATGGTATAATATACATTTTATGGTAAATGAGATTTCTTCTCTGATAAATGGACATTCATCATGGGCGACTGAGAGGGAATAAATGTACTTTTGCTACCAATATGTCAAAAAATATCCATCTTTCACTTAATTTTTCTGGCTTCCAGAATATATTTACAACTTGAACGAAATCTATTGGCTTTGGCATTTCTTTACAATGTTTTTCGTGCGGTCACACAATCCATTTAGTTTCTTCACAACACCATTCAATCATTTAAGGAGAACAAAGAAAGGACAAATCGTGTTTCTCTCTCTCTGACAAACAGATACAACAGAACCTGTCATAGTAAGTGTATGGCAAATCTGAAAAATAAATGACATGGTACTTATGCTACAAATGATTCAGAACAAACAGCTGTCAAGTCTTCCATTCAGGTTCTTGATACATACCTGGAACTGATTATCCCTATGAACTTGACATACTAATTCCAGCAACTTTAATGCATATTGCACATTTGTAATCACTTTTAAAGACCCATAAACATTGGTATCAAACTTTGAAATCTCAAGGACCCCAACAACTGGAAATTGCAAATGACAGTGCAAGTAACTTTGGAATTAAAACTAAAGCTGTAAGGCATTATCACTGAATTAAAAACTAAATGAGTAAAAATAAAAGGCAATGACATTATATCGAAGAATGAGCTGTATTCCTCCAGATATATGAATATGGAAACAGAGGAACGGCTTCAAATGTCTGATGTGCAACTTTAGAGACCAACAAGCTGCCGGTGTCCATACAATAAAGACTTTAGGAATCAAGAATTATGACAATGAAGTACATACTGCTACCAGAGCCTTTACACATTCATAAATAATGTAACATGCACCACAGTCAACATCGTTTGCATAATGCTGTGAAGTATCATGGTAGATTTGCTTTAGAAGGGCTTCCAGTTCAATTAACTGCAGCGTGTCACTTTTTGGATAATACATATTCTTAATAAAATCCATCCAGCTCAAACACCACAATTAAAGCCACAATCCAGAACTGCTGCTTTTACAGAAAAATCTGATCGACTTCAAAGATCTGAAAATATTTCCCAAGTGAAAGGATTCAAACATTACAAAACAAGACCCATTACAATAAAAGTAAATATGATCCCACTCATGTAACAGCAACATTGATATCTAACACTGTGCAAACAGTACAAGAGGAAGAGTATGATATCCACTGAAACCGTGAGTGTATCCATGTAGAAACGTGCTTTGTAATGCAACAGCTCATCCCTTGCAAGTATCTTAAGTCCTCAATTTCTGTACACAATTCACAACGTTTAGGAGGGAAAAACAGTTTGACTAATGATTTTGACACTATGTCGTTACTAGGCTCTAGGTCAGTTTTCGATGTGGACTTTTAACTGAAAGTGCTTAGCGTATACAACAACAACAACGGATTGTAGACGCGAAGTGAGACATCTAGTCTTTACAGTACATGTTTTACAGGAATAGTTCAACCAAAAATTAAGATTTGCTGATCATTTTTTCTCACCCTCAGGCCATCCAAGATGTAGAAGAGTTTGTTTCTTCATCGGAACAGATTTGGAGAAGTTTAGCATTAAATCACTTACTCACCAATGGATCCTCTGCAGTGAATGGGTGCCGTCAGAATGAGAATCCAAACAGCTGATAGAAACATTACAATAATCCACAAGTAATCCACACAACTCCAGTCCATCAATAAACATTGTTTTAAAGCAAAAATCAGCTTGTTTGTAAGAACCAAATCCATCAAGGCATTTTAACTTTATACCATCTCTTCTGGATTATCGTGATGTTTTTATCAGCTGTTTGGACTCTCATTCTGACGGCACCCATTCACTGCAGAGGATCCATTGGTGAGCATGTGATGTAATGCGAAACCTCTCCAGATCTGTTCTGATGAAGAAACAAACTCATCTATACTGGATGGCCTGAGGGGGAGTAAATTGTCAGCAAATATGAATTTTTGGGTGAACTATTTCTTTAAGTAAGCGATAAGCGAATCAAAATATGGGAGTTGCCTGAATGCGCTGGTATCGTTTCCAATGATTTAAAGAATATTTTTCAAACTCAAAAATTTCAGTCCAAGCTAAAAGCTATATGGAAAAATAAACATATTTACAGACTCAGATAAACGCAAGAGAGAAACACAAGATTAATACCTACCAAAATAATATTCGATTATTCACATATTTATACACATTTATACAAAAAGTTGACATCTATGGCCAACTGATTTTAATACTCTCTATTCCTTAGTCCTTTTTTCTACGCATTCTGGACGTTTTACCAGACCGTTGGACCCTGTTAATGGAAGCTGAAGATTTACCAAGATACAAAAATGTTTTGCCACAACTCGAGGAAAACGAAAAGGAGCAAAACTGGTCTTTCTTTTGAGTCTGTAAACTAAGGAAAGGGTCTAACCTGAACACTTTCATTGCAAATGTGTTATTGCAGATACTATTTCATATATACAGCAAACTATTCTGTAGGCACCGAAGTTCCATAATTATTCACAAATTACATGATAGCCTGCAGCATCCATGTTGTCATGTCAGATACATCCAGAAGATTTTGTCTTCTTATATTGCATCTTGAAATCAAAGTAACAACTAGTTCGAATTTCCTTCAGAAGTGATTGAGTTGAAATACTCTATTCAAAGCACCAAATTAAAAGCAGGAAAACAAAAAGGGACAGAACTGAGATTAGGTTGAAATTTGGTCTTCATTTCATAACACCTTGCATCCAAAGCTCTACAAGGTGATGATGTGATGAATACTGGGGTTTAGATGCTAGGGTGGTGAGAGGTGAAGGGGGGCGGGGGGGAGAGGGGAGAGGGACAGGGGGGTGTCCTGGGTGTTTGAACCAACAGGAGCAGTCCCAGAGGAAGAGTCCACTGACTGGGAAACACTGTATGTATGAAGAGATTCATTAAGTGCTGAAGTAGATCACATAATGAAGCATGAGATTTTGTTCCGTTTATTATTTAAGCATCATTGTAATACTCACCTGACTGTGTAACTGGTTATGTGAGCAGGGTCTGTGACTCCAGCGACAAAGAGCTTTTTGGGCGGACCGTCCGATTCAACTCCACCTGAGTAGAGGAAATGGGGAAAAAAAAACAGACAGATAATGTAATATGACAACAAAATCACTGGAGAAACGGATTAAAAGATGGGAATTTTAATACTGGAACTGAATGACGCTGCCTGCAACAAACAAACAGCATCACTAGTGTAGCTCGATTCACAAACTAGTTGATTCTTTTGAATAAATCAGTCAAAATGACTCACTAAATTTCTGATGACTCATTAAGTTTTAAACTTTTCACCATGTGTTACATGAAATGAAACAAGAACCGTTACTATGTACTTATGAAACGCAATGCCAAAAAGTAACAATATAGAAAATGTATCCTTAGAATTACACAACACTACCATTCAAAAGTTGGAGGTCAGTGATTAAAAAAAAAATTATATTTATATTCAGTCAGAATGCATTAAATTGATCAAAAATGACAGTAAAAAAATTTAATAATTTTAATACTTTATATTTTATTTTAAATTAATGCTGTTCTTTTCAACTTTCTATTCATCAGTTTCTCAGTCCTGAGAAAAAAAATCAGTCACTGTTTCCACAAAAATATGTTTTTTTTTTAACATTGATAATAATAAGAAATTTTTCTTCAGCACCAAATTAAAATTCATATTAGCATATTAGAATGGTTTATTAGAATGGGGGATCATGTAAAACTGAAAACTGGAGTAAATTCAGCTTTGCTATTCCATGAATCAATTACATTTTTATTTTAAATTGTTATATTTCATAATATTACTGTTTTACTGTATTTTTGATAAAAAATAAATACAGCCTTTTTAAGCAAAGCTTTTTTTTCTTCAAAAAAACATTAAAAATCTTACCAGCCCCGAACTTTTGAATGGTAGTTTTACTTCATACAAAAAAGATACTACCAATAAAATATTAAAAGTTCTAGTAATAATAATTCTTTCATTGTATTCATTAGGATTCCTGTCCTTTCTGATAAGTTTCTAATGTTCTTTTTCAAATGCATTTAGAAGAAACAACAGGTTATAAATCATTACCTTTCCTTTTCAAAGGTGCAACTGATGGCCATCTCACTCCAGAGCTCACAGATCCTCTGTTCATTCAAAAACAAATCAAAATCTTTGTTCAGAAAAGATATTTGTGTCTCTTGTATTTTGAAACAACTAAATATGAGACCAAATTCCTGCTAGTATTGACATTTGAAGGATATACATTCTAATACTGTAGTTTTATTCATTAACTCAGGCTTACCTTCGAAACCTCCGAGTTGGACTGGGTGAGGAATTAGGAGTGACACCGCTGTCCTGGGAATGGAATCCCTGCATGGGACGTACAGAGGTGAATAACAAGAACGACAATGGATTGAAACTGATGACCTGAAACCCAAAGAGAAATACTCACTGGAGACAGATGGTCATGCCAATGACTCGCAGGAGGGAAGGAAACAGCAGGCGAGGCACTTAGATGAGAGGAAATCAAGTTAAAATAAGTGAATATTTTGATAACATACATAACCCTTTAATTTATGCACAATTTTGTGTTTGGTTACCTTAGTCTCTGTAAACTTCCTCTCAAAGTGAGCTCCATATTCTCAATCTGGACGACAAACATTGTACAATAAAACATCACTTAACTGAATTAATGTTTCTTTAGATACAAAACAATTGTGCCTACTAATAAATCTCTTCACAAAACTACAATGGATTCTTTCTATCTCTTTTAATTTGAAAGTAAATGCAGGCAACAGGTACTCAACATACTCATGAACTCGTTACTGTTTAAAAGCATCACAGAATCGATTCTTTAGTTCTCACCTGTCTCTTGTGTTCGGATCTCTCACAAGACAGCGAGAATGGGGACAGAGGAAGGGTCTGTAACGCAAATGAGTTATTTGGGTTTATTCGAAGTTTTTAGAAAACGAAATGCCCAAAACTGATATTCACAAACCATCTGAATACTCACCCGTGAGGGACAGCTCGGGTTCACAGAAACGCTGCTCCGGCGATACCGAGTCGAACTATTCGAGCTGAATACTGTCGTCCCATCACTGCAGCACCAGCAAACAAGAGTTTAAATGAACGTTTTAAATGAATTCACAAGGTAATGAATATTGGGTTGCAGCAGTCACTCAGCAGTGGTTGCAGTTCCCTCACCTGACGTTCGTGATCATGGGGGCGCTGTTGGACCTTCGGAGGGCTCCTCCTGCGCCTGCGCACTGGTCCACCTCCATCCTCTCCATAGCTCGTCCTCTGGCGCCGGGACTGCGCGTCACTCACGGCCGGCCTGAACGCGACCTGACGCGGCCTTCCCCCCAAATCTCACCCGGCAAAAGCCCGACCAGCAGGCCTCACGCCAAAATACCCGATCCAATTTAACTGAGTGGACTGCTTTCCCGTGTCTATCGCATTTTGTTGAAGTTTTAAAACGAAATGGTGTCAGCTTGATGCACTAATTTAAAGAACAGCTGTGAGCTCGAGCCACAGCTGGTTTATCGGATCGCACTCAAACTTAGTATAAACTCCTCAGGTTGATTTCGTCGGCGTAAACATGAAGCAAATACAGTTATTTCTGTGCATTAGAGCGACTTTTCGTATTCAGTCCACAAGTTAGGTATATTCAGCACTATTTCCAATGCAAAGCCACCAACTCGACAAGGTCCTTTAGCGTTTTAATCCAATCCAATTTATCCGAACAGAGCAAATAAAACATCGAAAAGCAAAAACAGCACATAAGCGAATTAACACGGATCAAAGTAGTCAGAAAACAAGCTTTCGGGTCTTTTCGGTCAAATGTCGTGATAAAGGTGAAGCTTTCTGCCACGGCTTATTTTTTCAAGTTTACCTGCTAACGTTAGTTTGTAAAGCAGTCGGAAAAATGACATAACACCATCCCGATCAAACATGTGATCGTCGGCTCTGTCGGTGAAGGCATCCTCAGCTGAAAGTGTCTGCTGATACAGTCTGAAACCCGGGATACATTAAAAGTTTTCGGTCATTTCTTAGTTTAGAAAATAAAACATATTTCCCGCAACCAAATAGAGATTGTGCATCCCCTTGTGCAACAGCGCCTCGCTCTGGTAGACAAGAGAATTGCACAGAGATAAAGCACTGTGCTCAAGAGAAGCGAGTATGTGGCGTGCAACTATTTACTGCGTATTCTTTTGCCAATTATTCTGGCCTTAATGCAAGATATATAGAGTTTGCTTTTGAGATGAATCTGATTAAAAGAAAAGGTAATACGATTAATGAAAGAAAAAACGCAAATATTTAAGGTTATTTTCACTGAGGATTAATCCACAAGCGTCACCTTGGGATGCATCATGACAGTCATACTAAACCACCATACATCAGTAATGCACTACAAAACTGTATTTGGACAAGGTAGATGATAGACTTTTATTGTCCCGAAGGAAAATTGTCTTGGACACATACAATCCAGTGACT